GCAGTATCACTTCCTAACAGAGATGTGAGGTACCTCTCTTCCTGTGGGGTCAGTATTGTGTGTTGAGTGACATGTGCATGAGAATTCTCTCTTCTAGCCTCCCGACTCCATTTTAAATAAGGTTTCTGTTTATTAATTTTTACAATATTTAAAATTATTCTTAATTTTTAAGTTTTTATTAAGTTATAACATACACACAGAAAATTACATAAAGCATAAGTGTACAACTTGATTAGTTTTTGCAAATAGACCACATTGTTATGATTAACAAGAAACAACATTACCAGGGCCACAGAAACCTTCCTTGTGCCAATTTCCAGTCATGTTCCCACCTCCCAAGATTACCAAAGGTAACTGCTGTCTTGACTTTCAATATCAGAGGTTAGTTTTGTCTGTTTATGAACTTGGTATGTATATAATCACACAGTAACAGAGTCTAAATTCAAACTAACTTTGCCTGGCTCCAGAATCAGAGATCTTAATCATTGTGCTTTTAAGGCAGCCCATTTTTTCAGAGTTAACTGTAATTATCTATATAGTGTGTATCTACAAACCCACAAGCTTTGTAGAGAAAGGTGCCTTATTCTGCATGGCTCTGTGCCCAATGACTGGTTTTCCAATTCTGTATCTATTTCTTGGAGAGTAAATGTTCCACCCCCTTTAAAAAAAATTGTTAAAAGTCATTCATTACAACTAAGAATTAGAGTATTGAGCAAGAGTGGGTGATGACTTTGGAACTGAAAAGGAAGAAGGAAATACGCTCAGGAGAATGTCATCTGACTCTATTGAAAAGCAGGATGCTTATGATCTGTACATGTCTACGGAATATGGTTCTATAATAACTTTCAGGAATAGGTTCTATTAACTCACTTTCAAGAGCATAAATAGGAAAGTGGGAATTTTAAGGTCTAATACATGTACGTAAGTGCTTATTTTGCTCAAGTAAATGCAAAAATATTATTATAACTTTTTAAAAACCTAGTCTTAGCTCTCTTTTTTTCTGAAGCTATTGGGAAAATAAATAACTTAGTTGAAATTTTTATTAATAAACTTAGGTATGACAGAATATATTTTATTTGTAAACAGGACATGGTAAATTTATTATGAATATTTATAGATATCACAAAATAAGAGCTCTATTTCTTTTAAAGTTTTATAAAATCTAAATAGGTGCATAGCTAGAGTAATAGAATATGCAAGTATTTTCAAACTGTAAAACACGAATATAGCAAGTATAGCACAGTATCATTTCGTTACCAAAGAACTAGCTAATGTAGGTTTCCTCTCACCCTCCACATTGTATTTTGTTTTTTTCTTGTTGTTGGTACAGCTTTGAGAAGTTTTGGTTGTGAATGCACAGCTCATAAACATTTTTAAATTGCTTATCAAATCATAGACCAAAATTATATTTTTAGAATGTAATTTTAGAATCTCATTAGGCAGTGAACTCATTCATCATAAAACATCATACATTGTTTGTTTTAGAGAGAGTACTGAACAGCTCATATCCTTTGCTTAAAAATAGACTTTTTTTTTCTCAAAGCAATTATCTTCTCTTTAGCCCAATTTTCTATTCTCTGATATTCAACAAGACTTCAGTGCCAATAAACTTTTATTTTACTATGCTGATCATGAAATTATACCACTTTCTTTTCTATTTGCCTCAAAGCTGTGGAATTTTACATGTATTTTTTTGTCAGAAGCATATATATTCAGATAGAGAAAATCCTCTATGTTTCGACTCTGATTGCTAAGAGCAGTTTTTTCTGACTATTAAATGTAAGAGGCAGTTAAGTGGTTAAGAAAAAAAAAAATTAAACCAGACAGCCTTGTTCAAATTCTAGTTCTGCTACTTACTAGCATGTGACCTTGGTCAAGTTACTTAATATCTCTATGCCTCAGTTTTCCTATCTGTGAAATGTGGGATAATAGTAATAGCTATCTCATTGAGTTATTGTGAAAATTAAGTGGGTTAGTATATATCAAGCCCTTAGAACTCCGCTGGGCATATATTTAGTGTTGCATAGGTGTTTTTATTACTATCCTGAAATCTATTACTTTCCTTTGAAATTTTAACAAAATTCAAAAATAATTCATAATCTAAGAATTGTTTTTTACAATTTTTAACGTGCAGCCAATAATGACTCGACTCTGTCCAGAGAGCCTAGAAGCACAAGTTTATAGATAATATGTGTAAAGTTTTCTTCATCTTTCCTTTAATCTTTTACATGTTCATTTGCTCATTCAAGTATCCCTATTTATTGAACACTTACTATGGTCCTTGTGTATTCCATAAGGAACAAATAGGAAACATTCTCTGCTACCTGGAAGCTTATATTTAAGTCTCAGAGCCAGGCAAAAATGATAATAGGGCACGTTTGCTTGGTAATTTCTCTCTTGATCCCCCCTGCCCTGAACATCATTTTGAAGTAAATGTCTACTTTTATCTTCACTGTATATTAAATAACGTGTTAGTTGTTTGCTTTAAAAAATCACGATGCCTCTTTAAATGAAAAATGTGGTAAAATTTGGTTTTGGAAATGGATGTAGAGATAACATGCCAACTCTCTTATTTAATTCATTTGTGTTTTTCTCACTGATAACATTAATCTATTTTCTTATTTAAAAAGTTTCATCATGACTAACCCTTGAAGTTGGGAAATTTAGCTTTAGCTCTAAGTTTATCAGAGGTTCTCAGAACGCTCACACTTAAGACTGGGAAAAGGATGCAGCTGAACAGCAATATATCAACAATATGTGTTGAAAAATCGGTTCCTTGTTGACTGTATACAAAACACAAATTTCTAAAAGTTCTCAATGGCACTATTTCCTCTGTGGATTATGCAGGAAGTGCTTTTGTCTGAATAGTCATTCCTGTAGTGAAAGCCTTCAAAATCAATTCTCTTTATAGAGCTAAAGAATGCATGTGTGTTGGGGTGGGGTGTGCGAAGGAAGGTAAAGAGGGAGAGAAGAGACAGATTTTTGTGGAATACTGAATCAGACAAGCACGTGTGCCTAGTATAATTAAAGAACATAATCTGAAGGTAGCAATAGTACTGAATTATATGAGGTACTTTGTAGGCTGTCACTTGTACCACGTGTTTAAAATAAACTAATAGCAACAATGGACACTAATTCAAGGATTATGGAAAACGATGGTGGGGGACTAGTTTTTTTATTAAATTAAAAAAAGAGCAGTGAAAAACTATAATTGTCTGGATAATTAGGGAAGAAATATCATCCTCTCGATGGAATTATATAGGCCCATAAGGGCTAAGTATGTTCTTTTCCCTCAGTTACCTTGACTTTGACTATAAGCTGCTGTGCTTCATTTTGGATTGAAGATATTAAAAAGTGAACTCCAAGTAGGGATGATATGATATATTTCTGGAGTCCTTTTTAGTGAAGTGATTTTCAACCAGGGGCTGTTGCATGTGGATACGTGTATAGAGTTGTGAGGATTTTTCAAATAATCTCCTCAGACTCCACCTTTTTGTAATTAAAAAAAAAGTTCTTCTGGTGATTCTGAAATATCTCATAGCCTAGTCAGACATTTCCATCTCCTATCAGAACACACTTTTTAGGAACTGTGACTAGATTGTTTGTAAAAGATCCATTAGTGTTCTAGAGGAGTAAGTTAATTTCACATAAGAATACTTTCATCTTAATATGAATCTTTTTTTAAATGAATGTTGGCCCAGACCCAGAAAGACTAAGAAGCTGTATAAGTGCAATTTTATACGTGAACAGTACAAGTAAATTAAGGTGGAATAATGAATGCTGTTAGTGTGGTGGCTGGGATAGGAAGGACTGAGATGCTTTCTAATGGGTTGAGGTGTGGAGGTTAGCTAATCTGGAGGCGAAGGTCATTTCTTAAAGAAGAAAGACACACACACACACCCTTTCTGAAAAGTGGGAGTATTCCTCAGAGATATTTGGGTTTTCCAGCACATGAACCACTCATTGCACATATGCAACACTTAAAATATTAAATCCAAGCCTTTAAATGTCTCCTTGGTCTGACCTCAGTTTGCATGTCAAAAAAGGGTTATCTTTAAACTGATAAATTGATCCCAGGAAGGGAGGATCACCTTTATAATGGTGGTGGGAGATTTTTGTCGGGGTGACAGTCTAGTGTGTTAACCAATATCAGTGTGTGTGTGTGTGTGAGTGTGTGTGTGTGTGTGTGTGTGTGTGTGCCCCTTCCTACTTTACCTGTGGCCAAAAGGATCTCTTTCAGTTCCTCTTACTGTTAATTTCACATAAATAATTAGTAAGACAGTTCCAAGAACTAAACATATATTTTTTTATGAGTCTTAATCTTGGCAGATTCATACTATTTTATTACATAGAATAAAGCTAATAAAATATCTTGGGACAGTCTTCATGCTGGGGTTCGGGGTAGAAATGACTCTTCTCTGGTTTTGGAGACTGAAGGGTTAATGATGAAGCAAGGCTGTCAAAATCAGAGGTGTCTCAAGTCATGGTTTTCCTGGGAGTGTTCTCCATTTCTTTCTTTGAATGAATGACCTGAGTGAGAATGCTAAGATTTTCCTTCTTTACTCCTTTCAAAATCAATGTTACAGACATTCCTTTATGGTAACCTTACATTAATAATACGCAGGTATACAAGCTGGCAAAGTCTGATATGACTGGGTAAGACATCTAGCTATGACTAAAACACATCAATATAAAAAACTGTCTGGAAATGATCTCTTACTGTAAATTTTCCCAGCACTTGTTATACATTTTAAAAAGCCTTTTTATTTAAGAACATTTATCCGAGAAAGTCTAATTGAGAAAAATATTACATTGGTGAAACGCTCTGCTCAAGACAACTGCTGCTCTTTCTTTTCAGATTTTAGAACCTAACTCCCAAATCACAATCTGTATTTAAGCACTTCAAATAATAATTACCTCTGTGGAATGAACAGAAGTCCTTAAAAGGGACTGCCGATTTCCCTGCAATCTTTTACAGAGTGAGCAGAGCTATATCCACTGATAACCCAGCTGCCGAGGAACTGAGTAGAGCCGGCTCCAAACTTCTCAGCTGTTGACAGGCTTGACTTGCTGAGAACACTGGTTAAATATAGCACGCGCAAGCCAGCTCCTCAACAAAGTCATTGCTCTGACGGTGTTGTGAAGGGAGCAGAAGACGAGAAACCTAATCTCAGAACCCAACAACACCTAGCAACAGTTGAAAAAACTTTTAAACAAAAGTCTAGCTGGGTGGGAGATATACAACAGCCTCCAGTTTCTGCTGATCGGGATTTCAGGGAGAAGAAGCTGCTTTCCCCTTCTCTCTACTCAGTTTCCTGCATGACTTCAGCTATTGGCTAGTCCTAGGAAAGAAAGTGGGAAAAGCTTTTTCCTCTGTATTCTTTTGGGCTGGATAGTTTTCCAAGACTCCAATCTCTCTTGGGCTGTGGGACAAGCCACTGGGTTCTTCAAAGGATAAACTACCCCATAAAGGACATACCCTTGGTTAAACAAGCTGCTGTCAGGTAAGACCAAAATAAATAGCTACTTACTCTTTTAAGAAATTTCTGCTTCCACAAGAAGAGAGTTCTCTTCGATACTGTGTTGTCTGTTTCCTTTGATTCTTACTGTTCCACTCTGTGATAACACACTTAGGAATTATGATAATGATTGTGAATTATTTTTAAAGAATCGGAAACATCATGTCTTTCTCCGAATTATACTGATTCTGTTTTAAACACTAAGATTGTTATGATGTTTTAATAGCCATCAAAGTATTTCTGCCAAGTTATCATTCTTCAGCAGGTAACAAATATGACAAAGGACAATTTCACAGCTCCTTTCACAATTAGAATGGCTAACCAATGGTAGGAATATTTCCCCAGAAGCAAAATAACTCATTTATTGAAACTAGCTGAGCAGCTTGTGTGGTAAGTGGGAGGAAAGTCCCACACGGTGTTTGTATTGCTGTACTTTTGACTTGCTGCTATATGCTTTCCCTTTGCCTGATTCTCTGATTACACTGGTACACCTCGTGCTGGTTCTGACCTCATTACTTTACAGTCACCCCAAATGCTTCTGACTAAGCACAAAATATGCCTGGTATTAGCTCATTACCTTTGCAGTTGTTGAATACAAACTATTCAGGAGAATGTCATTTTGTGTGCGTGTGTGTGTGTGTGTTTAAATTGAGCAATTGCTTGTATACAGATAAAACAGGTTCTGATTTTTAAAACTAAAATCAAATTTATTACAAAAAGTCTTTTCTTAAGTTGCATGTATGTGTGTATGAGGGTGTTTACTATAGTATAAAGGAAATCCTACTTTCATCTGTTAATATATTGTCTCACCTTCCATGAATTGCAATGCTCTTTTCTCAGAATTGCTTAGTTATCAATTTCGCTTTCAATCTGACAAAAGTTATGGCTGTACATTGGTGATGTGGTTAGTGTTGACACCTGGTGTCTGTAGTTGCGTTGGATTTGTACAAAAAGTTTGTTCCTTTAAATGAACTTGATAATTTGAATAAATAGCCTAATCTAAGGATAATATTAAAGAAGACACAGATGAACATTTTAAAAGGAATTATTTGAGTCTATTTTGCCAAATAAAGAATTTACCCGTCAGTTTTGAACAAATTGTTGACAAATATATCAATCCTTTCAGTAAATGTTCCTATTTTAAGAAAAACTTTTAGAAACTTTAAGAAAAATTTTCCTGAAATCATATATATTTCAGTATGTGTTATATTTCATAATTCTGATTATAAAATTAGTTTAAAAAGTGAATGAAGCTAATTAAATATAATTAATGTATACAAGTAATATTGTAAACTGCACTTGGATAATCATGGGTATCAGAGAATGAAACTCCTGGTGCTTTAGTGGAAATGAAATATCTTCTTGAGTTTTGAAAAGTCAGAGCTAAATGCTTTACATTTTTCTTGTTTTTATCTTAGGAAGGGTCACATTGTTGGCTTACAAATGTACATGCAAGGCCAAAATTTACCATTAGTTCTAGGCATGTAATTTCTTTGGGAGTCAGTGGAACAGTGTGTAGATAATCCAGTGCAGCATTTAGCTCTGAGTGAAAGCCATGTTTTCTGATGAATTGAACTTTTGAGTATCATTGTCTTTATGGCTGTAAATTTACCACTGAGAATCAAAAATAGCTCAGGTTAAACCATGTGGTTTCCTCTAGTATATGAACAATCAGACTCTCCGTGAGCCATACAGATTCTGTTCTCCTGTTCCCTCAAGTTCATATTTCTGTGTTATTTTGGAATCCTCCTTTTCTCCTTCACCATCAGAGTTGTTAGATTCCATTACCATGTCTTCTACCACACTAAGGCCCATTCCCTTCACCCTCAGTCTGTATTATAACAGTGCTGCTCCCCTCCTCCCCATCATTGCCATCCAAACCATCTTGCCCATGACCACGGGTTAATTTTCCTAAAGCATTGCTATGTTTGTCTTCCTACTCTTCGGTTATCTTCTGGGACTTGTAGTTGCTGCCAAACACCTAGGCTGGGTATTTTGAAAACCTTCCATCATCTGGCACGTACTTAACTTTTCCAGTCTCAGCTCTCACTATTCAACAGCAAGTGTCCATTCCTTTGCTTCAGATTTTTTCAGATTTTGGGCCATTCTCCAAGCACATACACAGTGCACATTTCAATGTTCCACCCCTGCCTGTTTTCCTCCCCACACCTGGAGCACCTTTCATCCCCTTTCCTGTAGACACTGTGTTTACCTTTTAGAACCCAGATCAGTGTTTTCTACTTTCACAATGATATCCCAGACCATTCCTTTTAGAACTGATTCCCTTTTAGTTTAGACAGTTTGGTGCTCTGTTAAAATTAGAGTACTTTAGAACAGAGTTTCCTCTTTTAAATTCAGAATATTTTAATAAAGATGATTAGGTACAAAGCATCATCTTAAGCACCGCTTGGCTTTGGAGCTTTTCAGGCCTATGCAAATTGTGGATGTCCTATTAAATTTTTGGCTCCAGATTGCTAATGATGAATATGTGAGAAAGTGTAGATAAGTACAAAATCAAGAAAAACAACTTTAAGTACAATTAGTAGCTTTATTTTTTAATTTTTTAATTTTTTATTTTTTTAATTTTTTTTAGATGAGGCAACCCTTGGTTGATCTCACAGATTGCAAGGACCTTGTCAACTTACAATCCCTTATTATTTTATTTTATTTTTTACGCCTATGGCACCTGGTCTTCCTAGGTGGTCTCCTATCCAAGTACTAACCAGGCCTGACCCTGCTTAGCTTCCGAGATCAGACAGGATCGGGTTTGTTCAGGGTAGCATAGATATAGGCCAGTTAATAGTTTTTTATCTCAAAAATTTCTTAAGGAAACTCTTCATAGTTTTCCCATGCACAGAAAAATTACAAGTAATTGTAATTATACAGATGTACCCAATTGTGGAGATGATTTACCTTCTCGAGAATGAAATAGAAAGGGGATCTATAAAGACTATATGTATACATGTATATCTTGTGTATGCACCAAGACCTGTAAATGCTATTAATGCATATATTTTTGTTATTTTTTGGTACCAGATTCTATATATAGTTACCTTTGGTACTATATATTCATTTAAATTAGGGCTCCTTCTAATTATTGATCATCATGGATTAGAATCTGGCCTTGAATATTAAAATATTTAAACATGATGTTATAATCCTTTTTTCCCCTAGATATATAAAAAAAGAGACATTTCTTAGTTTTGTTTTTAATCACTCATGAAGCTTATAGCCTTATTGTGTAAGATCAAATATGAACCATGATTTCGAAGCAATTTTTTTTGTTTATCAAAAGAAAAGCCTTATCTTTATATTTTAAGATGGCCAAGGAGGTTAAAATTACTCTTCTAAATGGGTGTTCAGCAAGAATCACTATGGGATTTTCCTAATGAAATTAGTGAAATATTTAATATATTCATTTAGCAGTGGTTGCCCTGTGGTTATAATTTTTACTTTTTCCTTAGAAGCAAAACTTTCTGGTAAAATACATATCTAAACTAATGCTAATTTTTTTTTCTGGAAGATGAGCATTTCTTCATAAAACAGATACCCTAAGAAATAGGATTTTATAGTTTATTTATCACATTTTCACTCATTTGTCTCATCTTGTTTTCTCTAAACATGTGGGTTTTAGAAAAACAGCATCATGGGAAGTGAGAGGGCAAGTTTGAGATCTGTTTTAGCAGAAAAATTTAAGAGAAAAAAGATTGGTAAGAACTTGTTAGGAAATGACATTAAAAACTTGCAACATGTTTGTTTATACATTTATTATTTTATTATATATAGCAATAGAATAAAAGATATGCTAATAAAATATATTCTGTTTCCTTAAATCTGAGTTGTGGATTTAAGGACATGTTTATTGGTATGGAAGAGGAGGCTGGAAAGACTAGTAGCACAGGCATACCAGATGGCCTGGGTTCATATTTCAACTCACTGTGATCCTAGGCAAATTACTCTCTGTGCCTCAGTTTCTTCATCTATAAAATGAGGATAATAATACTATCTTCTTAATGGAGTTGTTTTGAAGATTAAATGAAAACACAGTTGTCTGATAGACTTTTTAATAAATTTAAGTGATTTTTGCTTTGTTATAACATCTTAAATATAGTTATATGTTTATTTTAATCTTCGTTGCACACAAAATTCTTGGTTACAGATAGTCTGTGAACTCAAGTTTATAGATCATAGAAAAAGCAGAAGAATGTATTGCTTAAACAGAAGAACCCTGTTTGGGACATACTTTGCTGCTGGGTACTCTAAGCAGACATAGTTTGAATGCCAGCCAATAATTTAGTATGGAATTTATGTTTTAAACCCTCCCTTCTCACTCGGCAGTCTGCTGTCTTATAGAATTATTACTAAAAAGGCTAAGAAATTACTCATGGCATAGACTAATATATGGTTTCTATATTTGTACTTGTAGATAAAGTATGTTTACGTATAGTGCTTGGGCGTCTCTTTTATAGCTGACTACACTGGGTAATGTATGGATGGCAATGGAAACTTCTTCCTCCATGGAGGGATATATTATTAAATTTATCATTCTTTATTTCTTCTCTTAGATGTTTTGTTTTGTTTTACTAACCTAGTAACAGATAAAAAGGAAAAGACCAAAAAAGGTCATCTCATGCTAGCTTCAACCTGACCAAATAGAAATGAATTCTTGCTATTCATTGCCCTTAATCCTATTCATTCTTCTTAAATATGTCAAGAAAGTATGTTCCAAGACAAACAAAAATAGTGTTATATCATAAATATGTGTGTGTATATTATGGGGTGATTACTATTCTGTATATTTAATTTAACAAAAACATATGAAACATTGTAAGCAAGGAAGTTTCTTAGTAGCTTTAGTGCCAACAAATCTTATGCAGGGTAGTTATGGCTTACACTTCTTGATTTTGTTTTATTTTTCTCAATTGAAAGAATGAGTTTCTAAAAGATACGGCAAACTGAGTTTTGTAATTGTCGTTCTCTAACGA